AACAGCATAACCTACAGCTTATACAGCACACATGCGAGTATATTATATAGACATAAGTCTATATAATATTATTAAATACGCTTAGTATGCTATATATGTATGGTGCATACGAAACATATGTGTCTGAGAAGGCCTTGAACTGCTACCACAGTATAACCTTGAACTCTTTGTGCGACATTACAAGTTACTTTATGTATTTTAAAGTATACTCTTCGTTTACTACAGTCCCTATGTATAAAAAAAAAATAAAACGAAAAATGAAAATTCATAACTTTATTTGCAGCTGTAAATAATAATACATAGATCTAGCAGAATAATAGGTATCAACTATAAGATAAGTTAAACAGTTGCGAGTTATATAAGGAAAAAACACTAACAGTGATTAGTACACCTATTTTCTTACATAAATACATAATTGAGTGCAAAATACAAATATATTGATTAATTGATTATAATAGCTAAAACTTTGAATAAAAACTCTGATAAGTATACGTAAACAAAAAACATTATCCAATGGTAGGACCGTAGGAGGTTAATCTGATAACAAGGGCCAATGAAGCTAACATTTTTTTAATTTGACGTTTCAATCAAATATTTTTTCATGATTATAATATAAGTAGATTTGGTTTGATTGAGATGCTTTAACTGCATTTTTACAAAATATTAGGATTGGCCCAGCGCAATAATTATATCTTGATGCGATGTAACACAGTTATAAAAATCGACGAAGGACACTAACTCGACTACGATTACAAGGTAGGTTAGGTGAGTAGTACCTACTGCAGTGAGTGCGGCATAAACACGCGGCATTTACAACGCGACCAGCTGTTGCAACCATTTTCATATTATACACGTTTTAAACGGCGAGATAAATGTGCATACGTATATCTCAAAGCGAATCGCACTGCAATATTATATACATCCAAGGGCAAGGCGGTTCAGCTGGTCAGGCTGATAAAGTGCCATTTAAAAAAAAAGTTGAATTTTCACCGGTTTAACCGCATTACGGCATTACGAATTTTGAGATGATATTATTATCATTACAATAATTTCTTACATTAATTAATTGAGCAAAAAGTAATATACTCAAGAAACTCGAGTGTTATACACTGAACAGTCTGTACTTACAATACGAAATAATTTAATTGTTTTTTCACTTCGGCAATAGTCCAATAATCTCTTTTATACGGCCACTATTATATTACGTGTCTTTAATACTCTCTTAATAACAATATTATAATAACGTCCACCGCGTACAAAAACATTATAGTTATTAGTAGTGTATGCGTATATATACATACGAGTGCGTGTGCTCGCGACGAGTTAGAACAGAACGTTTTGATTCCTATGATAAATAATATTTCGTAAAATATGTAGTTATAAAAGTAAAATTACAAACCATTATTATTATGTATTTTCAACCCGTTCCCCCGCCGTCCCTCCCGCTCACCGCGCACATCATTACGCTGCTCTGTGAGCACACTATAGAGTATAGCTGGTGCGCACGCACGCAAACGAGACACACACGCACACACACACACACACGCAAATACCCGGCCGTGACTAATTGCCCCCGACCGTTCCCGCGTGTGTGACGACGACGATCATTATAATATTATTATTTTAATATTATTGTGTACTACACAGCGTACCTATGTATTTTTACCTCTAAATCTCATTATTTCGACTTGTTCGCGAAAGCCCTAATTTTCTGGGCGGCGCGTTGAACACACGGTCGCGGCCGAATCGAGTGAATACATCGAAGAATAGTGATAATATTATTTTTATATTATATTATATTAAAAAAAATATTTCGACGACGACACCGTTGCGTCAACCCGGTAATGGGGGACATTTTTTTTGTTGGTTTTTTAGAAAAATAGCAAATATAGCACGCCGCCGCCGAAGCGCACATACGAAAAATACGCGTCCGGCGGGGCCACCCGTATATATTATTCCGTTTTCGTACACGCGGGAAAAGTTGGGCGGGATAAATCGGACGCGCGCGCAGGGTACGGGCGGAGGCGTTCGGCCATTTTGACGCGTCCCTCGCCCACAAACGCCCGGCGGCACATAATCGCCAGCTGGGTTCAACGTTACAATCTCGTATTTCTACGCGTTATCATACGGCAGTAGTAGTTTTAATTCATTTCATTTCACAATAATGAACATTAGTTCGACAATAAAAAATCACAATCATAACATCACGTTTTTGTATGCTGTTATATTAAAACAGTATACAGATAATAACACGAAAACACAATAATAATAATACTCAAAAACAGATGGATATTTTTCGCGAATAGTCAAAAAAATAGTATTAGGTATGTGTTTGCTGCTGCAGTACAACTACTTACGCCAGTCTTTTTTCAACGAGTCAAGGTTTCTTTTTCTCGTATGAACAATTCTACGTTTAAAATATTATTGAATTTTTTGGTATAAATTCTTAACGGGGCGAATTTTCTGTCACGAGTGTGATATCAGAAAACGATATTAAAATATATCGGTACAAATAATTTGAGCATATGTTTAAGACAATCCCGTATGGCATGTAATATAATATATCCACACAATACACAGACGAATGGTACTTATCGTTTTGATAATATGGTTTCGAAGTAGCAACGGCTATTACTTGTGTCAAAGGAACTACTGGTCAGGGGCGGAGAAGAGAAAAGCTGCCGCCAAAAGCTGTAATCACGTGCAATTCGGTTGCTAGGCGACAACGTGATGGCGCAGTGATGTTGAACAAACAAACCATATAATTATCTATCTGATGTAATCTACAAAGATTACAATATATTCTATAAATAAAAATGCAACCATTGACCAACATTAATTTTCTTTAGCTTGATTGTTATTATAATTATAAATTAATTACGTGCAAATGTTACTTAAATCTTTTTTATACTGACACATATAATATTTATATTTATTAAAGTGAACATGCGTTTTAAATTACAGATAGAATATTTATAAACTTAAATCTCCAGTTAATCGTATAACTAAATTTTTTGCACAACACCGTATATGGGCGAAGAAACCAGTATATCTAAATAATTAAAGTTGAACAAAATACTCGCCTTTGCGATCAATTTTTAAGTTTGCCATATTACCGGGTGTCCCATAAAAATTATACTTAGACAATACTGTAACTATTATACCTATACTGTTGAATAATATTTTTTAGAAATCTCAGTTATATGATAAATGTCGATATTATGCCGTTTAAATTAAACAATAAGAGTCCGAGTACATTTATTATTATTTATATAATGATTGTGTGATGGGTGGACACTGGACATGCATCGTGCTTATATATGTGTAAATAGATTAGCGCACCCTATCCTAGGTATGTAATTCTTAGTGATATACTGTTGTAGATGCAGTGGCGTCGTCTGCAAGACGCTTGTGGAAAAGGGGCATACTCCTCCATCATGATCTAATTTGTTTCATCCCACATTATTTATAACACATAATATATATTAATATAATCATAATGTTCCAATATTATATCGATTTTTTCCTCCTACTTAGAAATACAAATTGTTCTAGGTACGGTACCTATACACCACTGCAGGAAGACCGAATACTCAGATGGCAATGCAAATAAATCCGATAATTTTCTATACTATATATTTAAATATTTATAATTCTAACATATTATTTTAAACCAACGCAACATAATATGGGTAATGGGTATATCAACTTTAAAAACATTATCTGCTACGGTCTAGATCATAATAGATATTTTAAACAATTATTTTGTAGTTGAGAACATATTTTTTGAATTGATATATTATTGCCACGACTCACGATTCATACGGCATAGGTAATAACGAAATTCGACATGGATACAATTGGTCAAGTATAGGCTAGTACGAAATCAAAAGTATTACATGGTTGAATAACGCCTAATAAATCGTGACAATATTTATAATACTTTAATTGATAAAATTGTAAAATGTATTTATACAAAAAAGGTGAAGTCACACACGTGTTTTGGTATTATACCAAAAACTGTGTAGGTATAACAAATAAAAAAAAAATAGGGCCTGTAGATCACCGCAGTCATGATAAAAATGACAGGTCATTCATGGACGAGGGTGGTAGAATTCGGAGGCTACTACAACCTACACACTCGCCTTTAGAATTGTATATAAAAGAGACAGGGGTTAAACAGTAGGTATTGTGCGATAGGTTAGGGTAATAAAACCATTGGTTTACAATGTTTATAGTGCTATAAAATCAAACATTTTGAATAAAAATTGTCATCCCGTGTCATAAATATAGATAGGCACGTAACTTGTTAATGGGTTATTATTTTCATAGAGTTATTAAGAAAGGCAGAGATAAAATAGATACTCTTTTTATAATGGCGAAAGTAGTATAACTACGAATACGGAGTAGAATACGATGTACAATTATCATATTCTACACTTTGTTTAAATGATAATAGTATGAAATGTACGACAACAATGATGTCCCGGATAGTTCAAATCATATTTCTTTGAAGACCACCCGCAATTTTGCTTAGGGAACACCCCTGTGCGCACTCTGCACGCCAAAACGAGCACAAAAGTACAATATTCTCTCGGTGAGCTATGACGATGTGCTAGTAGATTTTTTACCATCGGAACGGAACCGGTTATGAAATGAGACACAGAATATATACAACATGGCGTGCATCCACTCGTATTATCGTCTTCGTCTTAATGATATTGTGAATTGCAAACGTAATAAAGGTAATTACTGAGAGGCCGTGTAGAGGAAAATTAAAATCAAAGAGAGAGTTAAAAAAACGAAAAAAGCACGTATATAAATTGGCACTGAAATTATGTGTACTGTGTAGGTACCGCAACGGACACAGGTGGACAAGGACGTTCTAAAAATATACACCAAAATAATAACACGAATTCACTACTACGCTCGACCGAGTTATATCTAACTTATATACTAACTGTAGAAACTACTCATATTATTATTATTATTGCACTCACGGTGTTGGTTGTCATGTCGACAACCACGTAAATGAGCAGGACGATCTCCTGTTCATCTGATCCAAGAAGGTTTCCTTGGTGGCCGGCCGTGGCCACGTACAGGGCACATAGGTACGGTGTGGCCGCTCTCATATTAGTGACTTTAATGCTTTGGCAAACGTCTTGCAGTTGTTTCTGGAGGTCCCCCTCCTCCACCACCTCCACCACCGGTCGAGTATCACAGACCGTCGATTTGATGTCGGACATTCCCCATTACCTAGATAAGCAAACATACAATATTTAATAACAAAAACCAAACTAAAAATAACTTTCTTGTATTGTAATGAAAATAATAATAAACACTAGCTTAAATATAACCTATAATGATTTTTTACTTTCTAAAAAAATAATATAAGTAAAATGTAATACCCAACATAATTTTTAAATGGTCGTTCAAATTTAATTGTTAAGCATCTACCTACTTATTAATTTACTATTTTTTTTTTTATCCTATAATAATTATTTATTATGACGTAACAAATGTATTTCAAATTGTTCAATTAATAGTAAAAAACAACATTCATCGTAGGTCCCTATGATGTATAACTATATGGTTTATATGTATGTATTTTAATAGTATCATTTATAATTGTAGTTATCTTTTTGAAAAGCATCACATTCTTTTTAAGGACGAATAAAATACACAATTCGTTGGAATATTTAATTGATTGCGTGCTATAACGTAAGACATCATGTATTCTTGTAAAAATTTTCACGACCTTGACAGTGTTTACTAGACTAGTCAGTCTCCTGTAATTTAAGAAAATTTACATGTGACGCAATTTACGCCCATGGCCGTCTTCTATTCGCAGAGTACGAGTACTACAATATTATATTTTTAACACGTGATTCATATTATATCATTAACACGTTATCAATTTTGATGAGAATAAAATATTTCAGAATATGTCTTGTAATGTTTACGAAAACTGCACTTTTTAGGAAAACTATTTATTTGTAAAAATCAAAACATTACATTCAGAAATAAAATAATAATTTAAAACATAAAAAGCTAAGGTTTAAGATATTGTATCGTTTTATTTTGATCATTAGATTTTACGAAAGTCGCAAAAAAACAATTTTTTAAAGGGTAACGCCTCGAGGCTTAACAAATGTTCAACAAATCGATGAACTGAAGTCTATTGATATACTTACGCACAAAGTATGTTTTTATTCTCACACAACGTACATAAATATGATGAACATTTTGACTGACAAATAGTGTATAATAATTAACAATTGATAATGATAAGTAAAACCATTTCATAACCACTCCTAAACTAATTGAATCCTCTACAATAACCTATTAAAACTATAGAAAATCAAGAAGTTTTCAAAGCACAACGAGTAAACAAGTGAAATTACAAATATGAATAATTCCAAATATCTTTACACATTTTCAATAAACATAAATGAAAACGTAAGTGTCGAAAACGTTATTTTACGCAAGCGGAGTTATTCAATAACGATCGAAACATTCCAACTTATATGGGAAGCCAAATAACATTAAACCACAAAAAGTAATTCTCTTTACGAGCATACAGTTATTACTTATTGATATTGAAAATGTTCTGTATTATTTTTTAAACAAAGCACTGAATTACTAAAAAAAAACATTCGGAAATAATACACAAAAAAATTTTTAAAAAGTAGTAAACAAATTAATAGTAACAAAAACAACTTATTTTCTTTGAAATTTTTCAAAAATAGTTTTAAACTAAATTTTAAATGATACAACGAAGTATTTATCAAGTTCAAGATTCATGAAAACATTGAACATACAATCTTACAGTATACTAGTATTCTGATACTTCTATTATTTAATCAACTACTTCAAGTGTATGAGATAAATATTTTTAAAAAAATCAAATTTTGATACAAGCTTATTATTACCCACAACATAATTAGTATTTAGTTTATATATTTTTTAGATTAAAAATAAAATAGAATACAATAGAGATACAAGATAGTTTAAGTAAATAAAAATACGATATTATTTTAAATCTTGGGCGTATAACAGATACGTTTAATAGCATTATTATACCACCCATTACACATTTATATACTTAACACTATTTTCCCAGATATTTTTTTCAAATTAATATAATATTTACGACCTTGATGTGTTCAAAATAGAAAAAAAAATTGAACATACCTAGGTATTATAATATGATGCATTGGACATTACGTAGTACCTACACCCAATTTATTACAAATAGAACATTTTAGACGTATCCTTAGTTTAAATAAACGAACTACAAATTGCTTAAGTTAATGGATTTTCCAGTGCGTGCAAATTATTTATTATACACATTTCATAGAGTAGTAAAGTACTGAATACCGTCTAATCAATTTTCTAAAATTATATAAAAAACTCAATATTGTTTTCTAAAGTCAAATCATGCAATAGAAAATTGTTTAGAAATATTAAATGTTACACCTTTAGTTACGTAATACGTATGTAACATGTTGGGTTTACTAACCGAACATTTATTGATATTGTATTTAGCACAAAAATGTTCGTGTATGATTAAAATATGTAAATAAAAAATAGTTTATCAACTAAATTATATGTATTGCACTAGGTATATTTAGAGATATTGCGAGATCGATTATTAACCATCATCAGTGCTGAAAACGAAACACAGATCGTTACAAATGGCAAGTCGCATTAAATGTTATTAATTGTGACCATAATTAGTTAGTTATTTAATAGCAAGTTGCAATGTTACGTCGTCGGTGAAAATAGAAAAACCAAAAAGTTTCTCAACACATAATGCACACGAAATATTTTTAATTTTTAATGAGATGTGGTTTTTTATTTATAAAGGGTCGTCGCAAAACAAAATAAATTTGTATACACCTTTTGTAATGCAGAACGGAAACGTCAAATATCGTTGAAATAATGAGACCGCGTAGGTAGGCTTTCACCAGCGACGAATGGTTACCGGTGGCCGCGACAATCGTCCGCTGTGCCCGGGAAAACCGTTCTGCGACCGATGAACCGATTAAAAACGTGCGGCGTGCCATTCCCGCCTGAACAGATGCAAATTGAGAAGAACAATAATACCAAAAAAAATTTACACGCACAAGCGATAGAGACAAAATATATATACGGACGATGCGGTTGATGGAGCAACGGTTACATAGAACAGTACTGCTACGATTTAAAGGTTAAGTTAATTTGATAAAATTAGGATTTCCAATTACAAATTTTACAGTACAGTTTATGGTACTTGTAAACCGGTAAAATGTAGGCCCCCACACAAATATAACCTATTTAATCGTTTATTTTTAAAATGGTTTTGATTACTGCAGGACAATGCTCTCTTTAAAAATATATATATATACATACATAATATTATATGGATAAGTATAATATTATAAAAGCGTAGGTAAACCACTTCAAATGATTTGATATGCAATTGATAAGATATTATTATTATGGTAATATAGGCTTTGATTAAAAACTTAGAATTTCTACAAATGTCAGAAAATATAATGTAGATCACATTTGGTGGCATATCATAAAAGAACTATTCTGTTGAAAAGGGAATATAATATTTTTTACTTGTGGTAGTTTAATAGGTGAGTGGGTAACTGGATAGGTTTTTTAAAACATTAAAATATATATTTTGTTAGTATAGCATACATTGTTATGACTTTATGAGTGGGTGGGTAATTTTAAACTGTGCCCCGACAAAAAAAAGTGAATGATGCCGCTACGCCAGTACGCATAGATACTGCACTGATAATATGTAATTGATAAACATCTGTTAGGAACTATGGTAAGCAGTTTTGGCCTTGATTAGTTGTTTATCTGGATTTTTTTATAAAATTTCTCTATTGACAAATTATTTAATAGATGTATCCGACTTACATGATTATAATATAGTGCACAACAAATAAAATATGAATTATATCACGCATGCACATCAGCTAACAACTTGATATATCAGTATCACAAATCTTTACTTCATTTTTGCATGCGTGACACAAATAATCCTATACAGAATACCTACCGTGTTTTTCTAACAATCTACACAAGGTACTAAAATGTATTGTTTTTTTATTCTGTGAAAATATTATTCGGTTTTATTTTTTATTTTAAAGAAAGAAAAATTGTAAAGAATTAGTACAATATTATAAATTAAAAAACAATAAATTCAATTTTCATTTTAACTGAATACAATCTGTTATCACGAGGTGATGTACTATTTATTAAAGAAGAAAACTTAACAAAATAACATTTTTTTAAATATAAAAATGACTAGCTAGATACACATATTACCAGTTAATTACGTAAGTTAGTTAACGTAATAAATAATTATTTAAAATCCAAAGCTAAATAAATAGTAATGTAAATTATATTCGTGTTTCTAGTACTATTGAAATGGATATGACTAAAAATCAAGTCCAGCTATCATAAAAATCCGTATAAGTAAACCAGTTAAACATGTCAGAAGTTCTCTTTCTTTTCTATCTCTGCCGCGCATTGTACAAGTCTAAAAATAATAGATAATCAACATATTATAAAAAACTCCAAGTTGAAATCGTTGATGAAAAACAAAAATATATGATAGATATTTTATATAGTTGCTTAAATATTTCAATAGAACATTATTTAGGGACGACCGCTTATTGATCGACAATTGTACTATATTGCCGCGCACACAATGGGGAGGTATAATAACGAAATACAATTTAAATGACTACATGACGTATTATATAGGTGCGTATTTTATATTCTAGACAAAAAAAAAGGATGAAGCCAAACACGCGCGTTACGTAATCAACATAACATATGATACGTGTTTCAAAGGGTTAAGGTGAGGTCCATTTTATATTTTTCATATTGTGGAATATTAACGTTACACTGTTTCCGAGATAAAACGAAGAATTTCAGATTTCCGAAATGATTGTCCTCCAGCCACAAAGTTCCTCATATTTAATAGGAGGGGGCGGTATGAAAACAACAAGTTGACAAATTCCTTCACGGTGTTGCTGATGGGAATGCCCGCTGCAGCGGTCGTAGTTCCCTGGACGGCTGGACACGCATCACAAACCACGGATGGAACAATAATACGCGTGTTACGTCGTCCAGAAAGGTAACACGGATGTGTAGTAGTTGTTATGGGGCATAAATGGGAAAACTTCAAACGTTAAATAAGTCTTCAAAATGGTTAAATTTTATTAGGATGAAAACGCGGTTTGTATCATGATTATTCAGAAAATCATAACAGTCTATAACACGAGAATAACAACCTAACATACACAAAACGTATGAAATGTCGGTAGGTAATTATGACTCACAAATCTTAGAAAATTAAATTATTTGAATAATCCCCCATCTTTTCTGCAATACAGTTTGCATATCATAATATACGAATCAATATATATTTTAATCCAATTCTGTATGAGTGTGATTCTTGTCAATCGTAGAATTGTTTTGAACGTTATAATAATAGTTGTTTCTATTATTTTTATACTTTTAAGTATTTTACGCGACATTTGTAAATATAACTAATACATTAAGCCATTAATGTTATTCTTATGGGCCTTAATATATTTCAATTGTTCACTAGATTAACTAAGAAAGTATTAATTCATGTAACATAAAATATTTCTCATAGGACATTACACATGTAATTAAAAATAAATACAAGGAAATTGATAATTTATGAAACGTATGTATAAATTATAATAGTATAATACAAGCGATTTTTTTAAGCAAAAAAAATAAATAAACAATTATTTAAATATGTGAAAAATTAATAAATATTTACCACTTAAAAACTCGTGTTAGTAAAGTCTAATTTTGTATGTAGGTACTCTAATCTAATAGTTATGATAAACACCCATTAGCACAAGTATAAACATTATTATTATTTTTCATTAAATCCAAATCCAATATAGGTACTTACTAATTTGTTTTTATTTTTTGTTATAACTTAAAAACAAATTTTAATATTATATGAGTTTAAAATAAACACATTTGTATACGTAATCTTAAATATCAAATAAAATAATCTCAAATGTTAGCTAGGTATTTATATATATACGTACAATCATATTTTATGATAATATACTGTGGTAGTGTGGTCTGTGATGTATTATAAGGTAGTTGATGACTTGTAGTTGTACATCAAGGTATAACACCCATGCGAATATTGAATTAATTTTAAAAAATAAACTTTATGTATAAATAGATATTATTGTAGTAATTTGTTCAACTTAAGATGAACGAATTATTAGAAATTATTTCAAATCATAATATAATTTTCTTATGAATGTTTATAACATAGTAAATAAAATTCGATGGTTTTACTTTAAATATTTTAAAATTACTTGGTTACTTAATAATACCTAAACAATAAAATCTTATTTTATCTCGTATTTTATTAATATTTTTCAACAGTAATGTACACACATTTTACTATAAGCAATGAGTAGTGACTAATACGATGTTACGATAGGGAGAGCAAACATTATGTAGTTGCCTATATAATAATATTATGTTATACAATATAGTTATAGGTATGTGCAATAAATGGTGACATTTCGAATGCAAAATCTAATAAATTAGAGAGGAGATAGAACTGTACGCATTAAAAATCACGGAATCTATCATTAGAAAATGTTCAAAATCGGGTTCAAAATTCACTATCGCGCATTTACATGTATTCTAACATTAATAATTGAAAGGTTTTCGATTCAAACGCAAACCCCTATGGCCGGTAGGTACATAAATATGTTATCGCTCAAAGGATAAGAGATAATGTATCAAGAATCAACACGTTACTATCATACACCGTCAACATTACATTAACGATTGAGTGTAATAATAGTTTGGTCTAATTTTAGAAGCATCGACGATATTGCTACTTTTCCAACGTACGTATACAAAAGGTATAATTGCATGTACGGAGACTACGAAATTCATCACAAATTCCGATAAAGCGTCGATACGAGAACAGATACATTATTAACACAATCTATGATTACATGGGCAAAAAGTGAAAACGAAAATTGAGCTACTGCGCCCAGAGGACGGGAAAAGCTTGCAGCAGGATACCTGTTGCCGACGATCAGCACATGTACCGCATACGTAGATGGTATCCACAAACACACACACACACACACAAACACATACACACACACATAAATACGCGCACACACACACCATGACAATATCAACTCACCGTTCAGCCCGTTTCATATCCGTTATTTGATTCCGGTCGTTCGGAAGGCGCCGCACAAAGATCTGTTTGTACGAAATATTATTGTGTTTCTACCGGATCGGCGACGGGGGCCGGCACGCGCACACGCGACGAATGAAGACCGAACCGAACTTTCGAAATATACGTATCCGGAATTCCGATTTATGATCGATTCCGGTGACGGCGGAAGGGCGCGCGGGGGGACGTCGAAGACTTGCACGTAACGAATAATATTATGGTTATACTGCTGTGCACCGACTACCTGTAATATTGTGTATCGACAGTATGCACTTATCCAAATGGCAATATAATATATTATTATAACAAAATATGATGATATCGTGGCGTGAGTTTAGATTTTTGTCAAATCGTTGACATGATTGCGCGTATTATTTCTGACCGTACGTGCTCGCACACCGGAGACCGAATGCTGTCGAGTGGCGGCGGCGGTTCTCTGTTGCGTTGTAAAACGGCGGCGGCGGCGGTGGCGACGGTGAGAGTAGGAAAAAAATACTACAGGTATTACAAACGCGATTACGGCGGGAGCGGGTCGGGGTGGTTAGGAGGACGGTCCGCGGCGGTGGTGCTCCGGTGGGGAGCCAGGTGATACGGCCAGGTGAACCAGGTATTTCGGTGCATGTGTGTGCGTGTGTGTGCGGTGTGTGTGTGTGCGTGTGTCTGCTACGTCGTTGCCGCGTCACTCCCCACCAGCGAAACCGGCTTTCCCCCTACCCGCGGAACCACTACCTCATCTTTCCCACCGCCAGAGCCGAGCCGCCGTCGTCGTCGTCGTCGTCGTCGGGATCTTCTTCGCCACCGCATCGTCGTCGTCGTCGTCGTCGTCGCGTAGTAGGGACTGAAAGCGGCGACCTTCAGGTGTGTATTATCATTATGACGTTTTATAATAATAAAATAATACAATATAATATCTAAATATATATATATATAAGTACCCGTGTGTACAACCATATGCATATTGTATACAGTGTGGTTATTTTTTCCATCACCTCGGGTGTCGGTGGGAAAAAAATTGGGTTTCACTCGCGGGACGACGTTGCATTTAAGGAGCCATAACCGCGTTTCCCCCACTCTTTGCATTTTTTTTCGGAGACGTTTCACCGAACACATGAGACGCGTAGGTATATCAAGCTTGGGGTGTTCAAAAGTATTAAACCACATGTCCATAATATGATATGAGGTAAAAGTAAATTTGATCGAATTATTAAATCGTTGTTTCTAAAAACTTACATCATAATTCATAATATGATCAGAAAACTGTCATGAAAAGTAATAACAATCACACACGTTCTGCATAAAATCTATGATTTGAGTAAAAAATAGACACAAAACTAAAGTATGTTCTATTTGCTTTTAAAAGCTACCAAATGTGAATATTTCAGCAATTTAGATAATGTTATTATGATTTCATTAATAACTTAATAAAGTGATGTCATTAGTGGATTGGATACACTACATTATACTTAATTACTCGAATAGTAGGTATACTCGGTATAATTGAAGTGAATTTAGAAATGCATAATTAAGGTGTCGACAATAACGATATTAGTCCCTTTCTTTAATTTATACCTCCAAATACACATAAAAATTAATGGAAAAATAATATATAGGTGATATATAGACATTAAAGGCGACGAGTGTCAAGAATTTATTAAGAAAAACAAATGAGGATTCTCGTGAAACAATCATATAATGATAATTTATAATATTATTATCAAAATAAATACTTATTTTATTTTATTCAATATATAAATACAATATTACTATCACAACTTATAAGTTATAAGTTATATCTTATTTGCTAAATTAAATATTTAGTACTCTATGCATATTTTATAAAAAAATGTATTTTTTTTCATTGGACAGTAAAAAAAACCATACATTTATTAATTTATTTATACGTAAAGTATACAGTGACATTGTGTATATTATGTACTTATGGCCACTTATAAATTATTTAAAATAGAAAAAAACTTACAAGGAAGTCGCACTGTAGCAACTGTGTACCTAATATATTTTGAGCGTTTCCACCTACTACTTGGCAATTGAGTAGGTAACTGAAATGGATGTGTTAAATTATTTGAATTCAATAATAAATCATTACACACGATTCTGAGCGGAGACAGTGTAATATCCAATGGTGGAAATTGATTGGGCTTGGATGGCATAAGCCCGCTCAAAAGTCTTTTGAGGTCCCCTGAAAATAAATAAAAAATAATTATAATATAGTGCTTTTTTCATAAATATTGCTCAAAATGTCGATAGAAAAGAATTATGTAAATAAAATAATATTTTCTTACTTAAAGTGGTAAATATTCTGACCAAAAAAATTACTTTTTCCGCATGGATTATACTTGCATGAACTGCAACCAACTGCCATTGTTTTAAAATAAATTATAAAAAACTATAGAGCTTGCTTCTGCCACATAGTCAGGTTAATTCAATTTAATAAATTTATTCAATTGTAAGAATACGAAAAACCATTCTGAGCGAAGACTTTCAAACCATATATAGATATTTAAATACAAAACATTACGAATTATGAAGTTTTAAATAGAAATTAATTAGTGATTGGTCGAGATTTTGAACAGATATATTAGCATAGTACTATTAAACAAAAAAAAAACAATAGTAATAATTGTGTAACATTAAATAATTATAACAATTAAATGAATATAATGAAATTTTAATAACTGTATAGTTCACGCGAAGCGAGACCAATCTTTTTTATTGCATTTATCAAGTCGTTAGCCAATATTTGGAACCCAATTTCTGCCCATATGGGTGTATATCAGCCACTATTTCTACGGATATCTTAACATGTATTTACAAATTTATATATAAATAAAACCTTAAATTTGAAGTCTTATTACAACTTATATATTTTGAATTCCAACGAAATAACTAAATTGTTCGAAAATATCGAAAAATGTCAAATACCGAAATACCTATATAATAACTACTCGTATAATTAGTCAAATTATTTCGAAAATTTAATCATTTAAAGTAAATAATTATTTAAGTAGTAAAATAGTAGATAGATGTAGGTATAATGGAATATTTCTACGATTAATATATTTTAGACTGCAATCAAATACAAAAAAAAATCATTCGAGGATAAATTGTTTCTTACGAGTTTATATACATCAAAATTTATCAAAGCTTAAAATTCAGTATGAAAATTTGTTTTGTACAAATATATTCCAGTTTCTCATAAATTTTTTTGTTTTTCCAAATTCTTTCGAAAAGTTCTAGACGTTTTTTACTTTTGACCTCATGAATGTACAAATTAGATTCAACTTTCAAAGTCGAAGTATTTTTACAGTCCAAAAAAAAATAAACACACATTTTTGTAAAACCAATACAACAACACTCATTGATATGTCTATAGAATCTATATAACTCAATAAATGAAATCAATTTAATTACATATAATGGACATAAATACAATTACAAATATTACAGATGGATTTAAAAATATAAATATGATGAAACTAAAAATCAATAATTATTATATTAACACCAAAAACTCTACTAAAAATGTTAAAAAAACGATTCTTTCCAATTCTCCATACTATCGTTTATAATAAAAATACATTATTATTTCCGTAATTACATTATACTTTAATATGATTGAATTTATAATTCTTTTAACACTTGACTTCATACACTACCGTAGCGTGAATATAGATATTGCAAACAATAAAGCGCACTTTTTCCCGCTCACTTTGATGTCTGACCTCACACATCAGTCATCTGCAGTATGAAAATAAGTAAATGCGAAATCACTGAGACACCTTTCTTATTGGTAGGTATATAAGCAATACAAAATAGTAAATGTAAATCTTAGCTAATTGTATTTTCACGGTTTGGCCTAGGAAGTCCAACCTTATAGTATATGTTTGATCGCCTTCGTGTGATGTACAGAAAAATATGAACTACCAATAGAGCCTAGGGTTATAACTTGTATTTTATAAACAACTTTTCAAATGTCTTACACGGACGGCAAATATCATAAAGAAACAAAAAAAAAAAAAAAAATGAAACGAATAAAAGCATACCTACTTGATGGCTGATGACATACGAGTTAAAGCCGACATCAAAATCTGTTGTATTGTTGTTATGCAAAAAAAAAACACTGCTTACGAACAATATTGGACAAACCACTACTCAAGTGAATTTTGACCAGCACGCTACGACTGTGAAGATGTGAAGTAAAACCTTAGACCAAAGCCTCCGAACACTACAAATAAAAAACAGACTTTTCAGTCTTAGATGCATTAAGTCAAATTATTAAAAACTCATTTTTATAATGTATTATAATATCTTATCTTAATAACTAACATAACGATCTTAATCCTTAGATTTCCTGTCACTACGATTTGCAGTGTAGGTAAACAGTGAGCTGCTTTTAAAAACAACTATCAATAATCTGCTTGTTTCAAAACCCCAAGAAAACTAAACCAAAATTTGACCACATTTTCAACGTTTTCCAAATCAATATTATTTTATTATAAACCACGTCAATTCAAAGTTCGTTAAGTATTATTATAGATTTTAACTATTAAAATTAAATCAATAATAAATCATATCTAAAACGGACAAAATCAAAATTAAAAATAGAAATTCTCGTTTAAACTATCCAGAATAGGTATATATAAAACTATCACTATCAATTTGAATTCAAATTAATAACTATTTTGGTTTGATTATTAAATTATAGCCAAGAATAATAAATCATTGCAGATATCTCAACATAAGAATATAAATTATCGCACACCTTATAGGTACTCATGTTGAGTCGTTATTTTCCCAATTAGCTTTTTTAATATAACTTACATGTAACATTATGATTTATATATTCTGATTTGAGTGAAATTGGTTTTACAATAAAACCAATTTGAGATAAATGGATTTAAAAGCGATAAATTTAAAAACGTTTATATATAGTTCAGAGTTTAGTAATTTATAGCAGCCTGCAGATCTTAACTAATAATGTTTTGACTTTTTTACTTGTTTAAAACAAAAGAACATTTCAGATATATACTAACATTACATTTATACATTTAATTTATATTTTAGTCATTTTTAAATTGCATACAATTTTTTTTAATTCAAAAGATTAATACGATTTTCGATATTATTAATAGTAGAATATTGAACAATTGTCTAAGTAGTAAGTAGTAAGTACCTACTTACATATTAAAAATATTATATTTATCGACTTAGGAACGAACTTGCACTATATTAGCAAATATAGGTAGGTACTGCCGTAAGCTTCTATCATCCATCTTATTTAACCAAAAGGGAGAAAGTAAGTAACTGCTCGCTGCTGCAAAGTAGGTGTAGAGTGTACCTTGTCATAAATTAGACCACTATAATGTATCTATCAAATTTGAATCTGATGATACACATATTTACATTCGATTACATAGA